TCTGTCTGTCTGTCTGTCTGTCTGTCTGTCTGTCTGTCTGTCTGTCTGTCTGTCTGTCTGTCTGTCTGTCTGTCTGTCTGTCTGTCTGTCTGTCTGTCTGTCTGTCTGTCTGTCTGTCTGTCTGTTTGTCTGTCTGTCTGTCTGTCTGTCTGTCTGTCTGTCTGTCTGTCTGTCTGTCTGTCTGTCTGTCTGTCTGTCTGTCTGTCTGTCTGTCTGTCTGTCTGTTTGTCTGTCTGTCTGTCTGTCTGTCTGTCTGTCTGTCTGTCTGTCTGTCTGTCTGTCTGTCTGTCTGTCTGTCTGTCTGTCTGTCTGTCTGTCTGTCTGTCTGTCTGTCTGTCTGTCTGTCTGTCTGTCTGTCTGTCTGTCTGTCTGTCTGTCTGACCCTTATAGACTCGGAAACTACTGAACCGATTGGCGTGAAAATTTGTATACAGGGGTTTTTGGGGCCGTGGAAGGTTCTTATGATGGTTCGAGACCCCTCCCCCTTATGTAAGGGGGGGGGGCTCCCATACAAATGAAACAGAAATTTCTGCTTAATCGAGAACTAATCAAGCAAATGGAACCAAATTAGGCATGTGGGGGCGAGTGTGGGGGTATAAGGAGATAATCATAGGGGGTAGCCCCTTAGATAATAGGGGGGGGGCAACGTACAATATAGCATGCTTTTTTTTTTAAATCGGCGCATAAACTCAAGCTAATATTGAATCCCGAGCAAGACCGCACACTTAGAAATTATTATTTTTACACGAGACGTAATTCAGCTTTGACGTAAATCATGGAACGTAAACAAACATAGCATGTAAAATTAAGTGTCCTGAAACAGAAACATATGCAACTCGACGAAAAGTGCGTTTGATTGAAATGATTTTCTCGTCCTTTTCAACTGATTCTTATATCAAAAGGGCCGCTTGCATGTGTCGGTCTCAGGGCACTGAAATTTACATGTCTTTTTCGTAGTGTGCGGGCACACTCAGCTAGTATTTAATAAAACAAAACATTACCCACCACCAAAACGCAAATTTAATTTTTTTTTGTTAAAAATTCTAAAATTGAAACAAGCTTGAAGAATTGCTAAAAAAAAAGTTAAGCCATATTTGTCTAAATCTTAAGTTCATTTTAACAAATGATGTGTGTCTGACAGAACGGGAATTAATGATATCATCCTTAACAATGTTTAAGTAACTCCTTCCTATCACAGCTAAATCATCAATGAGAAAATCAGCTGATCAAAAGCGTATCTTAAAAGGGTCTATTCAGAATTTAGCGGCTGGGGTTGCCTGCCGTCAATGAAAATATGTTTTTGACCCCAGATTTTCCAGTATGAATATTGACCGCTAAGGTTCATCCTTATTTTCCAACGAATTTATTGATATAGGACGAAGAATGGCTTAAGCAATAGGCCCCTGTTTGCGAAAAATACCGGATCTACGGGATCAGTCTTCAAAATTATCTGCAGCTCATATGCATGCATAAAACATCTCAATTACTTCAATCCCGTCATTCCCTCAAAGTTAAGAAGTTCTTCGTCTAAGTGGGAGACGCTTCGATGTTTGCACACTAAGAAGACATCTACGCGAGGTAACTCGCGTGTGCTTGTTGTTGGCTGGTTGGGTGTGGATTATGTCTACTTCAAAACTCATCTACCCAGAGCCTAAAGGGGCACCTCCATAAATACCTTTCGTACGCTTTTAGTTGGTGAGCTAAGTTTGGGTGTAAATTCTTCTCCAACAAGAATAACTTCACGCCCTGACAGTCGTCTACCTAGAGAAAGACACTTCGCGACTGCTTTTCATTGGCGGACTGGTTGTGGGTGTGAATTCTTCTTCAACAGGTGCGCCACTCCTACTATAGTCTATCCAAGGCCTGGAGACCTCTACAGTTCCATCTTCTTGGATAGGTATGTGACTATTTCTGTTTGTTTGTCAGAAGTGAAGTGTTCCTAGTTATTTTGGAAATGTAAAAAAATAGTTTGAAAATGTAGTCTTTACTTTACTATGGGAATTTGCGTATTCTCATCAATCCAGCGTCCGCACTTCTATTAGCTATTTTCCAGCGCTAGGCACACATATGACGTGTTTATTTGTTTACATTTATCTGCTACTTTATCTATTTTAATGGACAGAATTTTCCAAAACGGTTTGGAAACGTTTCAACAACGCTCCAAACTTCTCAGGTGAGTGTGGTTATTGTCAACAATCTCTTTTTCTTCGGCAACCTATTCAATTGAAGCGGGTTAACCAACAATTATCGGAAAAAGGAAGGAGAACCTGGAATAACCGGTTCGCTCAGTCGTAAAAATGTAATCAGATTGAAGCTGACAGACTATGGCATTATTTAAATACATTCAGCAAGTGTTTTGGTGAGACAATGCAGTGCAATTAACATTAGGTTGCCGAAAATAGTCAATGGGTGCCGAAGCCATAATTTACCCTGTATAGTTAAACGAAATTCTGCGGAGTTCCGTAAAATTTCGTTAACATGGAAATATTTCAACCCGATATTTTCTGATCGAAACGAAACGAAATATTATATTTGCAACTAACTAAAATGAACGCTATAACCCGATATATCGAGAAACAAAACCCTGCCTCAAATCTCCTCCCTTTTTCCTATGCTTCGACAATGTACCCCTCTAACCTCGGGTAATGCGCGAGTATTCGACCCAACTCCTACTAGACATAGAATTAATTGATTTTTTTTTACAAACAAAGAACAATGAATTAGCGGCTCCGTAAAGCTAACGCGATTAAACCTTACAAATAAACGAACTAGAAAAAAAAAACCCCGATATATCGCAAACCCTTACTTGATTTTAAGATTTATCGATTAACGATTTTGATGACCATGATGAATTTCATCTGTAGCTTTAAACAATTATAAATGGAAATAGATATTAGCGTACAATCCAGAGAAAAAAAACGGCTTGTTAACTTTCAACGAACGTTAGCTAAAAAGATCATCAGCAGAAGTAACAAACCAGTTTACTAAATATAATTCGACATTAAATGAATATAAGCAAGGCAAAAGAAGACACAAAAGAGGACCGATAATTCTCCCAGCTTGGTACCACTTGAAACTAGCGAATGTTACGAAGGCTTTTTGACAGAGAATAAGTGCTACTTGAATACAACACGAGGGCTTGGGCATTCTGCTACCTACATTTAAAAGTGTCAATTTCCAAGTTCAAATATTTCTTCAAACATTCAGGAGAAAAAAAAACTAGAACTACTCAGCAAATCATTTGTAAATGAATTCCAAGAAAACCAATCAGTATGCCCCGTAGATGAGTGGAAAAGTGAAACCAAGTGGAACGCGAGTGTTGGTTGGGCATTGTTTGTAAACATATGCTTGTGCGTGGCAGAAATCAGAAGGAGGTTACATTTCAGGTCATAAATCCTGCGCGTATGGCAGAAGGAATCTATGTGTAGCGCCAGGGGACCGCAGGAAATTATCAGTGTTTTACATGAAAAGGATGTTGCATCGGTTGGGCGATCGTCACTTGAAAGATGATCCAAGATAGGCGGCTTGAAATTGATCCGGTAAACGCGTTGCAACACTTATGTTTACATGTAAACCCATAATGAGTGGTGTATGGTGGACATAAGAATCTGGAGGTTCTGCTTTCTTCGTGAGTTTTTTTTTTCAAGAAGGCATCGACAAATGACATGTGACTTTTCTTCGAAATGTTGAAGGCGCATCTTGAAATGACAAAACACTTGAAAATCAAAAATTTCTCACACATGTGTTTTACAATGAGAATGCCTCGCTTATCGAACTTCATACAAGCTACAAACTTGTGGGTGCAATATCTTTAAATTAGCACGACACATTGTCACCCTTATACATTGTCGATGTGAACCCCTTTATACTCCACACACTCCGATACACACATTAAAAACATGTGGCCAAAAACACATATTTCAGTTTTAAATTAACTTTATATGGTACATAATAAACAAAATTAAGCGAAATAAATGTAAAACTTGCGTTGATTTGCGGCAGTGTAGAATCGCTCTCCAGCACCTGCTGATAATGCTACTGTTGGTTTGGTTTGGTTCCAGCTCAAGTGCGGCTGACTCTTCTGGAAAGCAAGCACGGTAAGCATGTTGGTGCTTCTGTTTATGACTAATGGCACACTTGCCACACACATCTGGTTAATTACTTATGGGAATGCTAACTCAAATCTAGAACATGATACCAGTAGTGGTATCCGGATGGAAGATTGCAGCTGGCATGGTTGCCAAATAGAAAGTTTACAGTACATCGTTGTATGTATTATAAATTGAACAAAATATCAATGTGTGGCATTAATGCAGTATTTATTGTACGAAATCATGATGTAACTGAAAAGTGCGGCTCAGTTCCAATATTAACTTCAAGAATGACATTTCTCACCATTAACTGGCTATGTTGATAACCCATCTGCTAAGTATACAAACAAGCACACATCATTTTCCATGCAGAGCCAAACATGATAAGCGAATGAGAACAGCTTGAGTTCATTGAAATGCATTCCTTGAATAAACTGAATTTAAAGGTGAAAATGATGATAGTTATGTTTTCGATAGTTATAATCTAAAACCGAAAAAAAAAAATAATAAACAGCAGCAAAAAATGTCTACGGCAGTGACAATTGAAAGCATATTAAACTGTAGAAAATTTCATCCGTTATGGTGAAATAAAGTCCAATCTGAAATACACTGTTGTTTGACAGCTTCAACATCTTTTCCTGGCATCGAGCTTTAGGGGAGCAAGGGATAACATAAAATTATAAACTAAATGATTACTTGCATTTTTTTAATGCCGATTAATCGAGAAAAAAAATTGAAGTTTCATCACGAAAAATATTTAAAATAAATTCAGTTTTGTTGTTCCCCAAGCTCCCCTACAATTGAGCAATAGCTGCGAAGAATCATCATAAAAGTATCTTCTGACTAAAGCATACAGTAATAGTTAACTACTGGAGTATTATCAGCTGTGTCTTATCAGCTCTTCATACTGACGAATGTTTACTTTCAATTGGCTGCAACCAGTGCAAGTGGAGTGGATGTGTGCTAGAATGTAAGTTGCCTGTAGTCACGATCGAAACAGGTTATGCGTTGGACGTAAAATTGAAAGATTTCAAAGCAAAACTAACTTACGCGCACTGTGAAACGAAACGGAATACTTAACTAAACTAGTTTTCGATAAGGATAAACAAACTAACTAACAAGTGATTCAGTATGAGTAATCTGCTTAAGATTGGTTTCCTTGGTGGTGGTAAAATGGCGCAAGCAATGGCAAAAGGATTTATTTCAGCCGGTTGGTATGGGAAAAATTGGAAAAAGGCAGTTACCGGCCATAACTATAACATCGTGTTTATTATATTTCTTCACATCTCATAATAACTTGAACTCATTTCTCTTGATGGTATTACAGAATAGAAAGAATATCGATAATAGTTGGCTTCAATGTGTGTGGTTTCAAATCTATTCATAATCAAATCGGTGTTCATCCGGTAATTTAGCTACTTTTCGCATTTTTATTTTCAAATCAAACTTAAGAAGCCTTTCAAATGTGGTTTAAAATTAGTGGGATTGATTGATAAAGTAAGCAATTCAAATGGATTTGGATCTGTATTGCTTTAAATTCGGGAGCTCACGAAATTACCGGATTGAAATTGCCAAAAGGACATAGTTATCATTAATACAGTGCATGAACTGACATTGCGCTGCATTTACTGTATTTGTTTATTGTTGTGTCCATGAAAATTACATGAGATTTTCTACGTGATTGAAGTGCATCCTCTTGGATGTAATATTAAAATTTATTTGTTGCTGTGTTGGATTTGATAGAGTCACACAATTTTGAGATATGGAGACGAACCAGCCCAGGGCTGAAAGTCTCCTTAATAAAGATATATAAAAAAAAATTGAGATATTGTTTAAAATCTACTGCTTCTTGACTCCAATTCCGCCCAAACACATTGAAATTTCATTGGATTCACTTCATCATGCGGATGAGAGCGGAAAAAAATGATTCGCTAAGAGCGCTTTTGCGTTTTCGAGAGAATGGATTTAAATATTTTATTATGCTTTCTTCTTGACTGTATTTTGTAGCTTTTTTCATTCGTTCACGTCGAAACTGTCGATATTTGTATTTGATTTTTTTTAAACTTTATTAAAGTGATTTTTAGCCGAGGGCTAGTTCATCGCACGATATATTTGATCTTTTTGCATGATATGACGCAAATGGGCGCTTATGCCAAAGTAGTTCTCTACCATATCAACACTTGATTCAGTTCACATCTAGCTGCCTTCTAAGTATGCACGATGGTCATCAAATGGATTCCATTTATACGGACTTAAAAGTCGCATTCGATCGTGTCAATCACCGAATCCTGCTCGCAAAACTCGAACGCTTAGGAGTTGAAACTCGGGTTGTCAAATGGATGGAATCTTACCTTGTGAACTGTTGTCTTTGCGTGAAACTTGGCACTTTTGAGTCGCACACTTTCAGCAACAGCTCAGGAGTTCCACAAGGAAGCAATCTTTGACCACTGTTATTTTCCCTGTTTTTCAACGATGTCTGCTCTCTCCTACCAGGCGGGTGTAAAATCTTGTATGCAGATGATCTAAAATAGTACTTGATAATACGATCTATAGAAGACTGCCAGAAGCTTCAACAGTATATTGATCTCTTCGAAGGCTGGTGTGACAGGAATTATCTCGTTATAAGTGTGAAAAAATGTGCCGTGATATCTTTCACCCGCAAGAAATCTCCAATCTGCTGGCCATACTCGATTCGTGGAGAAGCATTGGAAAGAGTCACAAGCATCAGGGATCTTGGAGTGGAGCTTGATTGCAAAATGACGTTTCGGGATCATTACTCCAACATCATCGCTAGAGCTAACAGAAATCTGGGATTCATCTTCCGCATTTGGTTTGTATCTCTTTCCCATGGCGCTTAATCGTGTTACTTTCCAACTTCGGTGAAGCGGACGTGTGGATGAGCGCTCAACTTCGATCTGTTCGTCTATCATGCAACACATCAATCGAAGTTTCATGACGAATATGAAAGAAATTGACAATATATATCAAATGCTCATTTCGCATAAAACATTATTTTTAGGAATTTTGAAATTATAAGACAGAAACTGTAATAATATTTCGAATTTATAAGCTACACAAAGAGTTTGTTAAGTATGTCAACAAACCCAGCTCTCAACCTAGTGTTCCAGTGGCGCCGGTGGTGTACTGGTAAACGTGATCGCCTCTCACCTCAAAAGGCCTGGGTTCAATCCCAGTCGGCACCGCCGGGATTTTCTGAGGCATACAATCTCTGATCACGTCTTCCTTCGGAAGGGAAGTAAAGCCTTTGGTCCTCAGTCTATGAGTTGATGGGTCCAATGGTGTAGAGTCCAGGTGTGGGAGCTGCCACTCTGGCGTCGGTAGCATTGGTACTCAGTGCGGAAAACAAGATCGATGGAAAACAAATCAAGGAAAAAAAAAGCAGTTACACAATTTACAATTACAATTTTTGTAAAATTGATGGTATTCCAGGTTCAAATCTCAAAAAAAATCCCAGTTTTTAATATTCAGTAAAAAACGAAAGTGTTCAATGGCATTAACTTTTTTTAATCGTGATCACGTCCAAATTATTTTAACTTATTTGTGGCTAAAAAACTTCTATAGCAAAACTACAGGAAGCATTTTTTAAAGCTGAAAGTATATTCAACTGAATAATAATGATGATTCTTCGATCTAGACACGTTGTAAAGTCATTCTATAATTATAGATCAGCTTATATAAATTATGAATCAGTCAGCTCAGTGTGTTAGCCAACTCAAAATCATATCAAGAAGACTGGCCACAATTCATGTTACAGAACAGAAGAGCTGCGCTTGAGCTAAGGTGCAAACAATGTACAGTAAAATGAGCATATACGTAAACCTCTCTTCTAAGGTTGGGGTATAAGAATATTTCCACGATTCTGAGGTTTTGACATTTGATTAGAATTTTGAGATGTATGACTCATACAAATCTGGCGGATTTATGGATATTTATAACACAGAATTGGAAAATTTTCATCGATTTATAACTGAGACAAGTACTCAAAATGTCATATTTTAAAATAATTTCTAGATCACAGATGTTGCCTTAACTTATATAATTTATGTGCTCATTTAAATTCTAAGAGTTCTGACCAGAATTACAAGATAATTTTGAGATAAAGTCCTAAAAAATTGAATTGAATTGAATTCCAAGGTGATTATGAGGAGAATTTATGGGAATCGTGAGGAGAATAGCTGGTAAATTTTAAGGAGAAGTTCAAGAGAATTCTAATGAGAGTTCAAAAATAAGTATGGCCGGCGCCGGTGGTGTAGTGGTAAGCGTAACTGCTTTCTAACACCCCTATGGGTCTGGGTTCAATCCCAGCCGAGGTCGGTGGGATTTTTCTGAGGCATAAAAATCTCTGGTCACGTCTTCCTTCGGAAGGGAAGTAAAGCCGTTGGTCCCGGCCCATGTGTGTTGAATGGGTGCGATATCCTACGCAGGTGTGGAAGCTGCCTTCCTGCACATTCGATTGCCATCAATGGATGGCAATCGATGTTCGTCGGTGATTGGCACTAGATTGCGGAACAGAGACCGACGTTAAATAAAGGAAAAAAGAAAACAAAAATAAGTATGAGCAGAACATAACGGTGTTCTGAGGATGATTTCAAAGGAATACTGGGGAAGATTTAGAAAAGAACTTCAAGAGAATTACGAGAAAAATGTCAAAGTAATTGTATTCTGGAGATAATTAAAAATAAATTGATGAAAATAAAAAGAGAAAGAAAATTCAGAAAGAAATTCTAATGGATGTCAGAAGAGAGTTTGGAATTAAAATAAAATTTTGAGGCTAATTTCAAAGGAATCTGATTAACATAAAAGTTGCAAAGGAACTTAGTGCTTAGGAGCCCAAGTAACATTGCAAGTTTTATCTTGATATTAAAGCATATCTTAATCATAGTCTACAGAACCTTTATAAAACCAAAATTGTTACTTGGGAGAGCTTCAAGGGATTTCCAAAGAGAATTCTATGGTAAATAGGAAGAGAGTTTCAAGGGAATTGTTTGGTAATTTTAATAAGATTTCCTTGATAATTCTCAATATCTAATACTGACTTTTCATATTCTTGATCATTTCCCGGTTTTCCTGGTTTGCTGGCCACCCTGATTAGTTTATATTGTGTGGTAAGGACAATCATACACTATGTCCAGGGAAGACGAGAAATTTTCTAGTACAATTCCAAAACCGGACCGGGAATCGCTACCTCCAGCACGGTCTTACTTTATAGCAGCGCCTTTACCGACTGCGCTAAGAGAAGCCCTGCGTTTGACACATAAAACTTGTCAATTTTACTCGCAAATAGACAATAAATGAAACAAATTATCAAGAGTATGTTTAGCCTGATTTATTTATCAGTGGGTTTCAGAAAACAACATTATGTTTGTTGAACAAAATATTTTTGGCGTCAATCCACAACAATGCAACAAATCGAACTAGTAAATTTTTAAGCGTTTTCTAAAATAAGCCTTAGTTTGGATGAAATTTGTTATTGATGTCCAGCCATTTCAATGCACTGTGCAGAACTTGCCGGAAGGCGTTAAATCTAAAGGGCGATCATCGTTTGAGAATCACACACTAAGAACAAAGTATGAACGTTTTGGTCCTTGGGAAAATGTTTCTCTTCTTTCAGCGACTTTTAAAAAAGAGAAAAACATAATTTCGGTGCTGTTGTCCTAATTTTAGGCACACCGATTTGTGGAATCATACTTGATATCATATAGGGGAATTTACGTATTCTCGGCAACCTAAGCAGCGACCTTCTTTCTATAGCCTTTTTCTCTAAGGAACGCACACATATGCAGTATTGGTTTGTTTACAATCTTTTTCTGCCAGCTGCTCTAACAATTTCAGTCGAAAGAATTGTCAAAAACTGTTTTGAAACGCTTTTACAAAGCTCCAATCTTCTCTAGTGAGAGCGAGTATTGTCGGCAACCAGTTTTTCTTCGGCAACCGTTCCATTTGAACTGCATGTAAATCTGCTGTTCTATTATCGGTAACTCGAAATCAGCTACAATTTGTAGTGCGTGTGTTGCATTTCAAGAAAACCTTGCTAGATTGCTTTTTCTCAGTGGTAAAAATATAGTCAAATTGAAGCTGAAAGCATAAAGAATCGTTTGCATGCATTCAGCGAAGTGTTTTCGTAAGAAAATCCAGTGAAAATAGTGTTTCAATGTGTGTTGCCGAAAATAGTCTGTCATGCCGAAGCCGTCATTTCCCCTATCTTTTTTTTTATAATAATGCACTTTTTCCCCACTAATGAGCTAGTCACGTAACAGCAGCGATTATGAGCGTTATTTTTTTTATTGTAGTCACTTTAACACTCTTGGGTCATTCGTGACTTGTTCGGGGGTGAGATGTGAACTCGTGACTTTGGCGTGAGAAGTATGGATGTTAACCACTACGCCGGGGTCGCCCCAGCGTTACTCCTTGTTTTTTTCACAACGTGAATGACGTGACGGTTATAACATACCCATAATGTATCTTGTATAAACTCGTTCATTAATATTTTTTCTAACTCAATTTCAGGCCTTACCAAGAGCGAAAATATGACCGCTAGCTTTCATCCGACTGACTTATCAAATATCGAAGCGTTTAAATCGTTCGGAGCCGAAACGTTTTTGGAAAACATTCCAATAGTGAAGCGCTCGGAAGTGATATTCGTTTCCGTGAAACCATCAGTCGTTCCAACTGTACTGGAAAACGTACGAACCGTCAGCGATGGGAAGCTATTCATTTCGATCGCCATGGGAGTCACGCTAGAAGACTTGGAAAAGGTAATTTAAATCGTATTTTAACCAGATAGATGGTATTTGACACGAATTTATGTAGTCTCTTTCATCAAAAGCTCGCGTTATTCGAGTGATGCCCAATACTCCGGCATTGGTGCGAAGTGGAGCTACCGTCTACGTGCGCGGAAAGGCAGCAACTTCGGATGATTGCTCTGTGACTCAAAAATTGTTTGAATCTATTGGAACTTGTGAGGAAGTTATGGAAAGTTTGATGGACCCCGTGACCGCACTTTCTGGTAGTGGACCAGCGTACATATTCGTGCTGATAGAAGCTCTCGCCGATGGAGGTGTGAAGATGGGTTTACCACGTGATCTGGCTTATCGTTTAGCTGCACAAACCGTACTTGGGGCTGGCAAGCTGGTACGCGAAACAGGTCGACATCCTGGACAGTTAAAAGATGACGTTACAAGTCCGGCTGGATCGACTGCTGCGGGATTGGCATTCTTGGAGCAAAATGGTAAATCAAAGCTATTATTTTTTACGATCGTCGCCAACTCAAAAACCACATTCTTTTGCAGCATTCCGACATGCCGTAGCTGGAGCTGTAGAAGCGGCGACACTTCGATGCCGTGAAGTTTCGGGCAATAAATAAAATCTATAGCATTCCTTCCTTCACCCTTGATAGACCGTGCTCAAATGCATACAGAGTTCGGAAAACTGTAGATACTTATTAGGCGTATAAATAATACCAAACATCACTTGAAGACAATAAAAGTGCCAGAACGGGTCTCTAAACAATCACAACGGAAGAAATATCGACCATTTAGTTGAATTCGACATATTCCCTCTGAAAACTGCTGTCATTATTCAACTCTTCCTGCGGTGGCGACAATGGGAACAGAGTAGGACAAATACCTACCTTGCCTCAAGCTGCAAGTATAGTTTTATGTTCCGACTAATAATCTCGAGGAAAACGAAGGAGCTCGATGTACTCAACTTATTCACACGTTTTCCCCCTTTTCTGTTGGGCGAACGGTGGAAAACTAATTTTTCATCGTCACATTTTCCAAAATATACACATAAGGTACTTTTCCCCCTTTTTTCGAGTGCTTTACTTTCTCGCTCATTAAGACGCTAATAATGCGTCACTGATGTTTGTTATCTAAATGAGTGGGGTCTCCTGCATATAAGGAAATGTAAACAGTCCAAAAACTCTTATTGCAAGTACTTTACACAAATTCAGTAAAAGATTTTCAATTTTAAATGCAATGTAGAATGAGTCAATTTAATTGCGAAGCTTTAATCAGGGTTGCGGTATTGTGAAATCATTATATGTTATAATGATATTTTGTATAATTTCGCTTTCAGAGAGTCACGAGACGCGATACACAAATTACGTAACGCAAAATTCTGATTATGGACGCCTCCTTATAACAATAACAACGCTTCATACCCCCCCTAAAATTACGTAACGCTAACTCATTGGCTTCCCTTTTTTTTCAAGATTGAATAAAAAATCTCAATTAACATTTGACATTTTAACCGTATTGAATCAATTCAAAAAAAGTTTCTGTTATTTGCTCTAAGAAAGTTAGGCTGGACGAGTTTAACCTTACCATCTTATGAGTCTCAATGTATGTTGATCAATTTGGATGCACTTGAAAAGCGAAAGCAGTTGGCAATGATTGCTTTTATAAACGATGTTGTAGCATAAAGAGTGAATGCCACAGAGATTTTAGAAAAACTAAATTTTTATGCTCCCACTCGTTCCTTAAGAAACAGAAATATGTTTTATATTTAAAATCAAAGAACAAACTATGCTAGGAACGTGCCTTTAAATAGAATGATGTATTGTTATAATGAACATTATGACACAATTGATTTGACAATGAACAAAAAGGCTCTTTTTGAGGTTAGTCAGAAATTAAAATAAATGTTTAGTGTTTTTTGTAACTTGAACTGGTCTACATTTGATTGACGACGAATAAATAAGTTACAAGTACAATATATCATTATAACATGTAATGATCCCAGTCGGCGCCGCCGGGATTTTCTGAGGCGTAAGATCTCTGATCACGCCTTCCTTCAGAAGGGAAGTAAAGCCGTTGGTCCCTGGTCCATGAGTTGATGTGTCGATAGGTAGAGTCCAGCTGTGGGAGCTGCTTTCCTGGCGTCGGTAGCATTGGTATGGAAAACAAGATCGACGGAAAACAAATCAAAGAAAAAAAAAAGAAAAAAAAATGCAATGATTTTATAATTCCGAAAACATTTTTTTAAGCGAAGTGCCTAGAAGAAGCCCTGGTTTTAAATATTTCTAAGCAGAATTTAATTTTTATGAACTGATCTCAATTGCGCATTGCTTGGTTCTCCACTCACAGAGCACCAACAAATTCTTTACGGAAGCTAAACATTCTAAATAGCTTTCACTTCCCTCATTAGCTTGGGTGGCGCGGGTCTAAATTATGTGAGTGCGTCACGCACTTCTTTCCTCACACGGCGACGGGCATTCTTCAGCCGAAAGGTGCTCATCTCGTCGATGTCTTTTCTTCAATGGCGGTGACGATGTCGGTCGTTGAGATGCTGCTGATGCTAAAGATGACGAGCGGTGATAATGCAGTCAACCAGAAGTAGCAACAGCAGCAATGTTGGAAAGTGAGATATGTGACATGGTTCTAATTTACGATATGGAAACCGCATGACAATTTACGCGCGCCGTAGGTTTTGGTCTCGCGCTGCCAGTTCCAGGACGGTGACAACGCGAAAGGCAAATGAAGAGAGACAGACGATTTTTTTTCTGAAGGAAGCAACTTCAGTTCACAGCGATGGAAGAACTAATGGTATAGGTCCACCGCGTGAAGGAAGATATATTTACGGTTCAATTTGTGTGACACTGATGACGTGCTGGTGCAGTGAGAAAAAGAGTTAAACGTACACTCAGTCTGCGATCGGTTTTTGTTGTCGGATTCGAACGATTCGGGAGTTTTCCATACGATGCAGGTTGGCCACCATGGTTCGCTGTAAAATCGTGGATAAAAGATTGACCATTGACGCCGCACAGGGACCAAACTTACATCAATTATAATAAACGATTATTACTCTGTGGACAAATATACTGATCTTCAGGACAACCCTTTTGTCAATTTATGAGCAAACTAGCCGAGAACCCGTTTCCTTGTTGGAATGCTCATTTACTGATAATCAAATTTGGAGGGTTATAGAGGTTGGTTAAACGGCTGAATATTGCGTATCATTGGTATTCCGCGAACCTGCAGGTATAAAGTAGTATCCATTTAGTGGTACTCAGCCTATTGTCCAGAAGCCCCTACCTCCCCGTGGTGCTGGCTGGGGTACGAATAACCATAGGAAAGATCGGGCAACCAATCCCGGTGGGACTTTGGTTGTTTGCTGAAAGAGTAGAGAGGGGGCTGGACTCTTCTCTCCAGTGGATGCAACTTATCCGATCGTCTGGTCCTCCGGCGATACAGGAGGTTGGTGCAGGCCCTACAAGGCAGCTCTTTAATTCAAGAGTACTGAAAGCAAACAATTCACACTGGGCCAGGAATGCAATCTAGCGGAGCACCAGTATGTTTATTTACAAAATTTATTTATTTAATACATTTGCATAAAAGAAAAATATAAAATTAAAGGGTGATACGGTCAAAATTTGGTCAAGGGAAAACGCGTGTAAATCGGTGAAATCGTTTATTTAAAAAATCAAATTAAATTTCTTTTTCAAGTTCAATTAGTATAAAATTCAGGAAAAATATTCAGTTAGGCTTCCGCTTTTCCAAATCCGAATTGCCGGGCCTTACGCTTGACCCCTGCCATCAGATTTTGTACAGCCACCTTGTCCACCTTCTTCGTCGCAGAAAGCCAGTTTGCCTTGAACTGCTGCTCGCCCTTAGCAGTTTTTTTGGTCTTCTTTAGGTTCCGCTTAACAATAGCCCAGTATTTCTCAATTGGGCGGAGCTCTGGCGTGTTGGGAGGGTTCTTGTCCTTGGGAACCACCTGCACGTTGTTGGCGGCGTACCACTCCATGGCCTTTTTACCGTAATGGCAAGATGCCAAATCTGGCCAAAACAGTACGGAACAACCGTGTTTCTTCAGGAAAGGCAGCAGACGTTTATTCAAACACTCTTTCACGTAAATTTTTTGGTTGACAGTCCCGGAAGCTATGAAAATGCTGCTTTTCAAGCCACAGGTACAGATGGCTTGCCAAACCAGATATTTCTTTGCGAACTTTGACAGTTTCATGTGCTTGAAAACATCTGCTACCTTTCCCCTTCCTTTTGCCGTATAAAACTCCTGTCCTGGAAGCTGCTTGTAGTCGGCTTTGACGTAGGTTTCATCGTCCATTACCACGCAGTCAAACTTCGTCTGCATCGTCGTGTACAGCCTCCGGGATCGCGCTTTGGCCGTCGTATTTTGTTTATCATCGCGATTTGGAGTCACTACCTTCTTGTAAGTCGATAGTCCGGCTCGTTTTTTGGCTCGATGCACGGTTGTAGACGATACACCCAGCTTATTTGCGGCATCTCGGAGAGAGAGGTTAGGGTTTCGCTTGAAACTACCGGCAACTCTCTTTGTCGTCTCAGCGGCTTCCGGTTTTCGATTTCCCCCCGATCCAGACTTCCTGGCTGTCGACAAACGTTCCCCAAACACTTTAATTACATTTGTAACGGTTGATTTGGCAACTTTTAGCGATTTTGCCAACTTTGCGTGCAAGTAGCTCGGATTTTCGCGATGCGCGAGCAAAATTTTGATACGCTGCTCTTCTTGCTTGGACGGCATTTTGACAACTGAAGAGTGAATTCCAAAATCAAAATAGGAGCAACATTCTACACACACACACCTTCAAAATGAGGGGTGTTCAGGTTTTTTAAATGCAAAATTGAAAGAAATACGTCAAGTTGATATTGACCAAATTTTGACCGTATCACCCTTTATATGGTTGTAAGCAAAAAAAAAAACCGAAGCAGAAAGAAAAAACCATATTTTTGACATTTTTTGCTTTAACTCCGTATAGGGTAGAGAACTACTTCGGCTTAATCGCCCATTTTGGGCCTATCGAGCAGAAAACTTCAAATAAATCCATGATTGCAGAGTGAACAAGTCAATTATGCGTTTGATTCGATACTTAAGTTAGTTAGCTACTCAACGAAGTCAATGAGAACGAATGATATGAAGGTTTGCACCCGTTATTCCCAAAAACAAAAGAAGCGCTCCGACCGAAACAATTTTTATCTTCTTCCGATAGGCCGAAGTGAATTCATTGGCGTTTCAATGCGTTAGGCCGAGTTTAGAATCCGTAGGCCGAGTTTGCCGTCGTGTTAGACTTTTGACAATATCTCAACGATCGGTTTCTCTTTATCAAATCTTACGGTACGTGCGGAAAGGTAAATAAATTTGGAAGCCATCAGTTATAATAACATTCCGTTTGGTGCTAAACTACGCTAGACTAAGAAAGACTAAGTGCGGGTTGTGCTTAATAGGCCGGAAATAGGGTAGTTAACCCTAACTCGGAACCAGTAGGCTGTGAAAATTTTAAGACTTAAAAAAAGTTGTTTATTTTGTCAAGATAAAAAACTTTGCCGAATACATCAAGTCTCCAAAACGTCAGAGAAAAAAGTTAGATTGTGGCGCCATCTTTGCGGAAGAGTTTTGAACTATTTGTTTATGTCAATATATGATCCTTATTATGATGAGAAACTTTGCCCAAGACACCAAGTCGCGAAAATGCTTCGTTTCGGAGTTATTAATTTTGCTCCGCTAGATTGCATTCCTGGCCCAGTGCCAAT